GAATTCTGGATTTTCCTTCAAGATGTAGCTCGAGCATCGGCATCTGTGGAAATACTTCCCAAGCCACCTCAAGCAACAAGGCTGTTCCTCTTCCATACATGTTTAATAAATGATTTATCTGTCATAACGTCTGTCTTCCCCTGCTGGAGCATAAGCTCAGTGAGCTGTGTTTTATGCACCTCTGGGTTTTCCCCACTTTTTCTGCACTTCTTCCCATCACCTGTCCCCCATGTGCCTCTCTAAGCCTGCTACGTGGTAAGTGCCAATTAAATGTTGCTTTTGGAACAGACAGCTGTAACATTTGGGGCATGGTGTCCTAGAATTCTTGGAGCTGGGACTCAAACCCCTTTTTGCATCTATGCTGGGTGAAAGAGTTTTATTATATTTGTGGCAGAATTCCTGGCCACAACATTCTGGCCACATCTATAAAATTCTAATTTCAGGTGAAAGGGCAATGTAAGTTTAATTTTTCTGAAAATCACAAAGAAAAATGGGGATGGATACCAAAATCTTCTGGTAGCTGGGCAGGTCCAATAGGCCAGAGCATGGCATGTTTCTCATGGGCATAGCCATTAAAATGTTCACTAAGTAAGTATTTATCTTGGAGCTTCTGGGGCATAGAAGGCCTTGGTGCAAAGTGTATGTTATCAGATATGGCACCCTTTTCAGAGAAAAGATTCTGGCACAACAGGAACATAAGACTGACCAACTGTATTAATTCTTGGATTTATTCCTCATTGTCTTTTTCTCTATACAACAGGTCTTCCTGAATGTTTGCATGATGTCAAGGGAAGAGAGGGGATGTTCTTTTTGTTTCACCTCTACCCTCTTTTCTTGAATCCTTCCACCTGCCCCTCCCATCCTCACTTCATCTGATGGCTTTGTGTCTATATGATTTTTTTTTAAAGATTTTATTTATTTTTTTGACAGGCAGAGATCACAGAGAAACAGGCAGAGAGAGAGGAGGAAGCAGGCTCCCTGCTGAGCAGAGAGCCCGATGTAGGGCTCGATCCCAGGACCCTGAGATCATGACCTGAGCTGAAGGCAGAGGCTTTAACCCACTGAGCCACCCAGGTGCCCCTATATGATTTTTTTAAAAGATTTTATTTATTTATTTGACACACACAGAGAGATCACAAGTAGGCAGAGAGGTAGGCAGAGAGAGAGGGGTTAGCAGGCTCCCTGCTGAGCAGAGAGCCTGACGTGGGACTCTATCCCAGGACCCTGAGATCATGACCTGAGCTGAAGGCAGAGGCTTAAGCCATTGAGCCACCCAGGCACCCTCTATATGATGTTTTTGATACAATTATGTTCTGTTTCCAAAGACCACTCTGTATTTCATGGCAGACACTGAGGTGCTCCAAGTAGCATTAGAGTATATTTAGGATCAGAGACCACTTAGAAGTAATAAGAATAAGAATACCTAGGGGCGCTTTGGTGGCTCAGGTGGTTAAGCATCTGACTCTTGATTTCGGCTCAGGTCATGATCTCCGGGTCAGGAGATGGAGCTCCAAGTCAGGCTCTGTGCAGTCTGCTTGGGATTCTTCCTCTCCCTCTGCTCCCTGTCCCCTCCTTCCCTCTAACAAAAAGAAGAAGGGGAAGAAGAAGGGGGAGGAAGAGGAGGAAGGGGAGAAAGGGGTGGGGGAAGGGGGAGGGGGAGGTGGGGAAGGAGAGGGATGAGAAGGAGGAGGAGGAGAAGAAGAAGAGGAGGAGGAGGAGGAAGGATATCTAACACTTTAATACTGGACGTTTATTATATGCTGTGGTGTGTTTTACATTTATAATTTCACTTAATTCTCAGAAGAACCCTATTATTTGGCAATTACGATTATCTCCACTTTATTAATGAGAAAACAAACTCAGAGAAGTTAGGTAACTTGCCAAACTTCAGGCAGAACCAGAATTCAAACCTGGCCCATCTGACTCTAGAGCCATTTCTTACCTACATGACTCTGTTTTCTGTCTCAGTAAAGCTTAAAAGTCAGGGAACTGGAAGGAATGGAAGGAACAACAACAAAATAAAACTAATGGTAAGGCCAAGAGAATTGCTGACAAAAAGATACAGCTCATTCCTTCTCTATGTTTAATGTCAATTTTTATACTTTGGCTAAGGTATTTATTATAAAGTTCTTTGCTGAAGGTCATCTTCCTTCTACCCTACCCCCATCATCAGATGATGTTCATTTATAGCTATGTTTAAACATCATAGGCAACACTTAGACTTACTGTATACTGAGTTTGCCATCTGAGCAAAGATTCTTTCTCAAAGCATATTTGCTTTATTCATTCTCTGGTTTTTGCCAAGAAATTGAAGGTCTTTTTTTTTTTTTTTTTTTTTTTTGCTTTTAACTTTTTGTTCCAAGTATTTCTCAGCTCTAGAATTTAAACAGTCAGGTCCAATTAGTCAAGACCAGATTAATCAAACTGACATTTTAGATCCACAGCTAGTTTGAGTTCCACAGAGTAGGAAAATGTTCTAGAATCTTTCTGAAGGAAAAGACATTCTGATTTAGTTCTGTATTGTTTGTAATCACATATGCTTTACTTCATGGCTTGAATGCTAATAAGAGCTTCCTAGAATTCATTCCTTAAGTTAAGTCATGGCATCTAATTATTTGGCAGGATGTTTTAAGTATATATAATTATATCTTCCCTCTAGTTTGTGGTGGTGAGCCAAGTAATCTGCATCAAGAGAAAATAATACCTACATTAGGGCTACCAACCAGGAGCTCACATTACTTTGGAAAAACCCACTCATTTACAATCTTAACACATAGTAGGTGCTCAATAGTGTTTTTTAGGGTGGATAATACCCATTAAGTTTTTATTTTGTTCGCTTTTTTTTTTTTAACCACACAACTTCTGACAGTATGGCATTTTCTAAATTTCCTTTTGAAAGGAACTTGTTTCTCATTGGAACTATGGTCCATGGAAGCACTTTGTAAAATGCTGCTGTAGATGCTAAAAATTTTGATGTCCTCAGTACACATTGGCACCCATTCAAGGACTTCTGAAACACTGAATGAATGCAGCCCTTATGGTGCTCAATACTTTTTAATGAACCAAATTAATATCACCCCTACCTTACTAGTTAAGATAACTCAGGCAAAGGGAAATCATATTGACCCTGTTCCATATTTCAGTACTTGGAGGTCAGTTGTATGAGTGTGGCTGAGACCCTGCACTTGGGAGTATAAAGTTTCAAATCCTGATCACTACCTTGGAAGTCCCTTCTCTTTTCTGAGTGCTTGTCTGCTTCTTGCCCTATGAGACAGGACCAGTTCTCACACAGTACAGGGCAACAGTGAACAGCACACTGGGCATGGCTTTATAATCATGAGCACTGAGTGATGATTTTTTCCTCATACATTCTACATGAGCTTAACTCTTACTCCTCTATTATTTGGGGATGATAACTGCAAAACATGCTCAGAATTTGGGCTAAAATAATTTTTTTTCCAAGTCTGGTAAATTATGTCACAAGCCTTTGGGGGAGTAGATCTGAGACACTTTCCTTTGGGCATGCTGCTGGGAGATAGAAGGGAAAGCAGAATTGTCATTTTCAGTCTGGGAAGGCCCAGCCAGTCAGCCTCGCTAGGCAGGTTGTTTTGGATGAAGGACAATTTTCAGTCTCATCATCGGCTGATCCAGGCCTCCAGAGCTTTCTTCACCCTTTTGGTTGGGATGATGCCGTCAGAGATGTAGAGTGAGCAGTTGGGTTCAGCAGAGTCAACTGCTATTGGGGGTAGGAAGTCTAGAAGACCAGTGACCAGGGTCAGCTCTTGCCTTGCGCTTTAAGGTTAAATGTCCTTTGGAAAGGTACATTTGCCAGGTCCTGTGGACATCATCCTCTCTCTTCTATCTGTTCCTCGACTATTGGGAGAATACAAGCTTCCACCAGCGCAGGATATCTTACCTGTCTGGATAACCCTTCTCTCTCCCAAGCGTGGGATGCAGGACATAACTGGAGCTTTACGGAGCCAAACATTTCTGTGAATGCAGGGACATGGGGATGTGAAAACATTTCACAAACCCCAAAGAGATTCACAGCCAGACCGAGATCCGATCCTAAGGTATCTGAGCTTTCTTTAAAGCGCGTGTTGTAGCCGCTTCTAACACCGCCGGGTCGCCGCCCCTCTACAAAGTAGGCCAGAGAGGGTAGGGGTTGAGGGGGGTGTTGTCTCCTCCTCATTCCCACAAGGAGCCCAAGGGATAGGAAGGCGCACACCTGGGTCGGGAGGCAACAACGGGCGAGGCTGCGCGGGGTTTGTGGAAGCCAGGCGCGCGGTCGGAGGCTCAGGGAAAAGCCCAAGCTTCGGCCGCAGGCATCGCGCCCCACCGTCCACCTTAGGCCCGAGGACAGGTGTGTGCGGGGTGCGGGGGCGGTAGTCAGGTGCACCGCGCGGCACTCCCAGGGCAGACACACCCTCCTCCGCCCACGAGTGACCTAATTACAAGGTGCCTGCCGCGCCCAGAGGCGGAGGTGGCCACCCCAACCGGGCTACCACTAGGCGCCCGTTCCTGCCCTCAAAGATTTGGGTATCCCATGCAACTCCGGCGCACCACGGGGTCACAACTCTAGTTTCTGTGACCTGGATGCAAACGCGGCGTGAAGCGCAGAGCCGGCTCACCTTACCGAAAAAGTCTCCGGCAACTAGGTTCTCCCCCCAACACCCTCCGACCCCGGGGCGGTGTCTGCGCCACGCTGGCGTCCGCGCCGCGCAGTACGCTATGCTCCGGAATTAGCCCGGTTCTGCGCTGTAAGAACGGCGCTCGCCTAGCCTGGGTCTTCCCTTTCTCTCTCGACCTCTCCCTTCTGGGCGACCACGCCCTACCAGCGAGGGTGCCTCAGTTACCAGCCGGCTACGTCGCGCCTGCGCCTTGGCCCCTGGTTCCCGCCCTACCAAGCCGCTCTGGCTGCGGACCGGGGTTGGCTCTGCAGTTGCGCAGCTCTAGTCCCGGCCCTTCCACCCCGCCGCCTCCTGACGCCGGGCGTGATGTCACCACGCCGGCGGCCGCCATTACAGAGAGCCGAGCTCCGGGGCTAGATCGAGCGGAGGAGGGCAGCGGCCGGTGGCCGGGTGCTGCAGGGAGAGTCCGCGGGTTTGCGTTAGCGCCGAGCAGCCGCCAGCAGCCACACAGGTACCCCGGGAGCCGGCGGTGGCGTGTGCGTGTGGCCCGTGTGCGGGCGGCGGCGCGGGAGGAGCGCGGAGCGGCAGCCGGTTCGGGCGGGTGGCATCATGGACGAGAAGGTGTTCACCAAGGAGCTGGACCAGTGGATCGAGCAGCTGAACGAATGCAAGCAGCTGTCCGAGTCCCAGGTCAAGAGCCTCTGCGAGAAGGTGAGTTTCTCTCCGGCTGCGGGAGGCGGCGCGGGCCGAGCCCCTCGGGAAGGAGGCGGCGGTGGGGAGGGTGCAACATGGCGGAGGCAGCCGGCTCGGGTCCCCCCCTAGCTTCCCAGACCGGCGCCCGGCGCGGCTTGGCGGCGGCTCCCGGGCGACCCGGCGCCCCCTGCCTCCAGCGCAGGGATTGGTTGTCGCCGCCACCGCCGCCTAAAATGGCGCCGTTCACCCTACTCCCGGGCTTCCGAGCCTCTCCGCCTTGGGGCCGGGCGAGGTGGCTGGGGGCGCAGAGACCCTGTGTGTTCGGGTCGGGGTCGGTTTTGAGGTGCATGTAAGAGGACGTCGGTTCTGCGGCCTGGGATGCGGGTGTAGGACTCTACTGTGAGGCGGATAAGAGGCTTTTTACTTGTGCTCAGGCCTCATTCTTGGTTCCAGAGCTGTCCAGAGGATCCCCCAAAGGCAAGCTCGTAGGCCGGACCCCAAGACTTGTCTAAAGGTCCTACACACGCATCCGAGGACCTTTAGTCCTGCTGTCCCTGGTGGTTTTGTTAAATTCACTGAGCAGTCCTTTCCAGAGACTGACTTAAAAATGTGTGTTAAAAGAATTTAAAAATACTTCTCTAACCTAGTTTCTACGAAGGTCATGGTGGTAGGTGCAGGGAGGAGTTACAACTTAGGTTTCAGAGTTGGAAGAAGTGGAGAATTTGGTGAGTCATACCACATAAGGAGCTTTGGGATTGGAAATCAAGTGTTGGTTTAATCTATGAATTCTATGCTGACTCAAACTGGGTACTGTGAAACCCTTCTGTGAGCTGAGCGTACTTGGCATTTTGCCATCTATTTTTAAAAAGAAACAACGTAAACTGCGAGCAGCAGATTTTGTACACGCGCTCTTTGGTGGGAAAGTTACTTGTTTGTATTTTTGAGGCTGTAAGTATGGATAGTAATAATAGCTGTTGATTGAGCTTTTAATAAGTCCATTTTAAATTACCTGATTCCGTTTTGTTTTTACCTAGGGGTTGGGGAAACAGGTAGCCTATTTAGTTATTGGCTATATTTTTGAAGTTTTAGGACTCAGTTTTCTAATATATAGAAAATGTTTATCTCCACTACAGATAGTTTAACTTCTCTTGTCAAAAATAACTTGGTAGTATTTCATTTTAGTGCAGAATTGGGGAATACCATATTTGCATTTTGTGTCAGTGAAGAGCATTATTAGAGAGCAATTATGCTGACTCGTTTGCGGTTTGATGGGAGAATTAGGTTCATGAGTTTGATGTATATACTCCTAATGCAGGCTTTTTCAGAAACTGTGGTGTGAATAATTGCAATTTAAATGAGTCAAATTCAGATTTATTTATCGTTAGCCTGAACAACTCTACTAGTTGATGAGGTGGCAAATTACCTATTGGAGCTGAATTTTAATGTTAGCAGTGTCTTCTGTTCCTTCTTTACCCTCATCAGATAAGGATGGTGTTCGTATGAAGGGTTTAACAAGAGGCTTTTAAAACTTACTTAACGTATACTGTCAAGTCTTAATTTCTAGGTGCTGTGATGATTTTATGACTTTTAGGGATCAGTACTATATAGACTTTGAGTCAGCGTTTGGTGAGGTGACTAGTCATTTGTGTAGAAAACATTGGAAGAGAGGTAATGGTGTAATTGGAAGACCACTGGACTTCCAAGTTAGACCTGGGCACTAGTCCTCTTTCTGTTGCAGAACAGTTGTGACTGACCTTGGGACACTCACCTAGTCCACATTTTGCTACTGAAACTAAGAGTTAAAATAGATGTTCCAGGCTCCCTTCTAATCTGAGATTATATAATCCAGTTTAAATTAGTATGTTGTGTTTAAATATTGAACACCTGCTTACTATTCACAATTGCTTACTTTTATGAGAGAAATGAAAAGCAATGAAGTATAATCACATTCAGTCTCAAGGAGCCTGTATCTGGTTGGAAGTAGGTAAGTAGTAGATGAACGAGAGAAGCAGAGGGTTTGTGTTAGAGACTGCAGGAGATAATAGTGGGTGTTTTAGTTTGGGTGTGTGAAGATTTATGCATGTGCTAAATGTGATTGCTTTCCCCATCTTTGTAAAACTAAGATACAGTGAGATTTACCAATGTATACTTACATCTCCATTGCTTTCTACTATGTCCAGATTTCTGTTCTTAGAGCCAAAAAGGTGGAAATAATATTTGAAGTTAGGTTCCCAAGAAATGGGTTCTTTGAGGGGAAATATTATGCAGTCTTCATACTCTTTTTAACTTGTAAGTTTTTGAACTGCGGAGTATATTAACTTCACAAACTAAGTTTTTTTTTTTTTTAAAGATTTTATTTATTTATTTGACAGAGTAGGCAGAGAGGCAGGCAGAGAGAGAGAGGGGAGAAGCAGGCTCCCTGCTGAGCAGAGAGCCTGACTCGGGGCTCGATCCCAGGACGTTGGGATCATGACCTGAGCGGAAGGCAGAGGCTTTAACCCACTGAGCCACCCAGGCGCCCCCACAAACTAAGTTTTAAGGCAGCTTTTTAGGTATGTGAAATGAGTTAGGATGCATGACTTGAAATGATTTTTTGTACTAGGAAACTACAGCACAAATTCTCTTTTCACTCGTAATTGAACAGCCAATAGCACATCTAGTGAAAACTATGTATTTTGAAAATCTTGAGGGAACTATTTTTCATTCGTATAATAGATTATCCTTTTAAAGAAAAAATACTTGTTGGAGATAGGTACTTGGTAGTAGTTGATCATTTCTTTAATTTTAAGAAGGAAAAGTAACACAAAAGCCTTCCTTTTATCTACCTGAAGGTGGTAGGTGATCTGAATGAAATATTTAAATGGTAAAGATAGAAGTATACCATGAGAGGTAATGGTGACTAAAAAATTCAGAGACCATTATTATGGTCTCCCATTAGTAGTTAATAGTGGTAGGTGTTCAAAATGCAGAGAATCTAGGTGTGTGTTTATAGACAAAAGTAAATATGGTTTTTGTTTGTTTTTTTTTTTTTTGCAATTGACTAGTTAAGCATTTTTTCCCTTCACAGTGTGATTAAGATTTATATCAAAGCCAAGATGATTGTATGTGGAGTATACTTTGTCATTTTGAGGATCATAATTTTAGTTCATTGTTGAAAATTTGTGGTGAGTGCATACAGTTTTGTCTCAGGTACAGTTCTATAGTCAGTAACATTACTACATTTGTATAATTGGAAGTTATGTTTCCACTTAGAGATTGGAAGAATTAAATAGTATCAACCATAGTAAACGGTCTTTTATTACGTGATTTCATCAGCGGTTTAATTTAGGTAAGATTTTTGGCTTTGTCCTTTCAGGTCTTTCCAAACTTGTGGAGAATGTTGTTTGATAGCCAGTTTGTTTTTTGTTTTTTTTTTTTTCCTTTCCCCAAAGGAGTTCTTTACCTAGGTATGCTCTTTTCCATTGCTCTGCAAACACTATAAATAAAATGCAGTCACTAAGGCCTCACATTTGTTACATGAGTATGGTAAAAAGCAAACCCTCCTTCTCACTGGATGAACTACAAAATGCTTGACCAAGGTTAAATTTTTGTATTAAGTGGTTAATAAATTTTTGTGAGTCTATATGTGTGCTTAATTTAACCGATTGTTTGGAGGCACCTGGGTGGTGTAGTTGGTTAAGCTTCGGACTCTTGTTTTTGGCTCAGGTCTTGATCTCAGGGTGGTGAGATTGAGCCCCATGTTGAGCTCAACCTGGAGTCTGCTTGAGGTTCTTTCTCCCTCTGGCCCTCCTGCTCATGCAGGGAGCACTCCCTTCCCCCATCCCCCTGCTCACCCTCCCTCTCTCCCTCACTGTCTCTTTCCATCTGGAATGGCTAGATAAATCTTAAAAAAAAAAACAAAAAAAACCACAACCATTTAAAAGGTTGTTTGGCTCATTTCCATAAAAGTAATTTGAATATTGAGAACAAAGGGAAAGCATGATGCAGAACGATGTTTGTATCATATTTTCACATACACAGTTCTCTTAAGTTTATGAGACAGTAATCGTTCTCAGTGATAGATGGAAACCAGAGGCTCAGAAAGGTAAAGTGAGGGTGCCTGGGTGGCTCAGTGGGTTCAGCCTCTGTCTTCGGCTCAGGTCATGATCTCAGGGTCCTGGGATTGAGCTCCAGACTCTCTGCTCAGTGGGGAGCCTGCTTCCTCCTCCCCCCTCTGCCTGTCTCTCTGCCTGCTTGTGATCTCTCTGTCAAATAAATAAATAAAATCTTTAAAAAAAAGAAAGAAAGGTGAAGTGACTTGACTTCAGGAGCTAAAGTGAAATGTGCAGGCTTACAGATTCTCCGCCCAGTGTTCTAATGTTGCTCCACAGCTCCCCTCTTAGGTGGTGTTAATGAAAAATGGAGCTGAATTGGAGTCAAACTGAATTGTGGAATCAACAGCTCTGTAAAATAAAGCATTTTGTTCATTGCTTGAAAGCTTCCTCTTTATGTCACACTGTGTTGTCTCACTTTGTCTTGGAGGAGGAAACAGTTAATTTTTCAATTTTGAATGTGGCTGGCTGCATTTACCCTTCAAATAACATTAGTGAGAAGAAAATGCCAGTTCGTTTTGTGTGTATCCTTAGTGCAAATCATGGTCGAGAAACAGAACTTTATACCTGGAAAGCAAATCTAACATTTATATTGTTCAGTACAGTTTGTAAAATGCCTTTTTATCATGGCTTCCGCAGTCAGTCCTACCTGTATGTGTCTGTGTGTGTTTCATGATCTCCTGGTCATGAAGCAGTAATGCACTTGGTTTTGGGTTGACTTAATGAGGAAGCATCGAAAAGGTGAACAGTCCTACTATTTGGAAACACAGGTCCCCCGGCTGTCCTTTTCTTTTCTCTGTCAAAGTCAGGAGTTCGGCCTACAAATACTGGCAGGTGAAACTCATGCTACAGAAAGCATGAGAGGCACTGGTGGAGTTTGTGGGTAACATTTGTATCACCTGTCAGGTGTCTCTGCCCCACCCCTCT